TACCTCATTTTCCCACAGCCTGGAATGCAGCCAAAATGGGTGGCTTGCCCCACAAATGCTTTACTCTGCAATCTGGGTTTTCCTGACTCTCTCAAGCCTTTGTTCAGGCTGGTCTTTCATCTATAGCGGCACCATCTAATGGGTCTCCTGTGACTGTGAGAATGTTCTACAGATCTACAGTATCCAATTCAGTTGTCGTCAGCCCTATGTGGCTATTGAGAAGAGCCCTTGAAATGTGGCTACTGCAATGCAGCAAGAGCTGAGTTTTTCATTTTATTTAACTTTAATTGACCTAAATTCAAATAGAGACATGGCCAGTGGCTACCGTATTGGATCACCCCCATCCAACAAGCACATTTCTTCTCCAAATCCCCACCTTTTGGGGGCAACTCAGAGGCTATTTCCTCCATGAGATCCAGTCTTCCCAGTGGAAATCATTCTTCCCTTCCTCCAAATTCCTTTTATACTTTGAACCATTATTGTAGCACTTACCACTTTTTAACTTACAGATACCTGTATAACATGTCCTCTCTGAGAACTAGGACTGTCTCTTATTCTTAATTTGGATTCCACTGTGCCTAATGCTGGGATGCCTTAAAGCGTTTACTGCGTGTTGACCGCAGCAGCACAGGAGTTAACATTAGCAGCAAGAAACTGATGGGATTGCTCTGCAGACAGGGATCAACCTTGCCAAGAGAAAGGTGTGGGCCTTGGCCTCCAGCTCCTGGCAGTAACTGCTAAGCCCTTAGAATATCCCACCTGGTAGGAGGGCCTTTGTTTACCTGGGAGCTCTGGGCTGAGTTATTAGCTTGACCTCTAGAGGGGTCACAGATTGGGCTACAAATTTCTTATTCCTACTTGGCACCCTAATTTCTCCTCTCCAGAATGCCCCTAAGCTCTCACTTCATTTCTCCTTTTCCCTTTACAATGAAATCTTAAGTTATTAGGGTCTCAGAAAGACTAGGAGGCATTTGAATCATGTTTTTATAGGAGGGGGGCTCTTGTGAACATGTTCACACACAAGAACAGAAGCAGACAGTCCTAAGGAGGTGAGAAGTGGGGCGAAATACACAGCATGAATGAGGAGCAAACCCTTGAAGTCGGGGAAGGGCAGGTGGAGGGCTCCTGGGATCGCCAGGGGGGTTCAGGACCTGGGCTGCCGGGTGAGGGGGGTGCAGCCAGCAAGGCCATGTGCAGATGGCTGGCCAAGCCACACAGATGTCTCTGCCCTCTTCCCGGCACAGCCTCCAAGCCCCTAGGAAAACACCGACCAATAAATTAAGTTGAAAAATATGAACGAGGCAGGAAATATCAACCTGGAATATTTGTCAATGGCATGGGTGTTCTGGAAGATGCGAAGCCCCATCTGGCCCTTCAGGAGCCCCTTCTTCCCGGAGGAGCTGGACCCGCTGTTCAGCGCCAGGTGGGCCACTATTTTGTCTTGCCTTTCTTCTTCAGTGAGAATATGGCTTCTCGGGTACCCAGCCAGGCTGTTGGCCTCAGATTCGCTGCAGCTCCCGTCCAGCATCATGGTTCTTGAATGAAGCATTCCACACATGCAGGGGAACTGCGAACAGCAAACAGTGTCAGCATGTTTAGGCCTTGTGACGCGCAGAGGAGGTGGTCTGGGCTGAGGGCAAAGCCCCAAGGCTACTCAGGACCACAGAAAGGCAGAACTGGAAGAATCTCCAGAGACACTTAGTCCAAAGATTCTCTACCCTCGCTGCATATTAGAATCAGCTGGGGGGCTTTTTAAAATGGCCACACCCAGGCTCCACTCTAGACTAATTAATTTAAAGCTCCCACAGGATTGTACTGAGCAGCCAGAGCTCAGAACCGCCGATTTAATTCAAATGCCCTCAATGTAGAGGCAAAAGCTATGACCCAGGGAGGCAATACAATTTTCTTGAGATCCCACAGCTATTGTCAGAGTCAGGACTTTAAATCCACACATCCTGATTTCAGCTGTGGGACTCCACCTTTTGTGCATAGTCAAAAGATTAGTGTCTTGCCAGTGGGTTTCAGCCCTGAACAAGTTCACTATGGATTCAGTGAGACCGAGGAATGACAGTGGAACGTTCTTGGGGTGAAAGATTTCATTACCCAGCTTGTCTCCCTGCTATAGTTGAATGCTGGAATTACAGTCCGCAGATCTGTAATCCTCTTTCTCTCTCCCTCTGCCCAGAGCACTGGGCAAACCTCTTTATGTAGTGACTCAGTCAGTAACAGCTCATTGAGTACAGGTGTGGAAGCAGTAGCCTAGCAGCAAGCCAGTTACACCATCAAGCAGTTTAGGGTCAGGGGAGGATCCTGGCCATAGTAACTTGAGTTTTCCCCACAATTAGGTAGGAGTATCCTTATTCTACAGTCACATTTAAGGATAAAGGGTCATGGCACCTACAATGTATTTTTAAATGGTTCCACTGCACTGACACAAATATGTTTATATGGAGAAAGAGTTCATACAAAAATGGCAAATATTAACAGTATTGCATGTAGGTGTAGGGTACCTGGATGTATATTATCCTATTTTTCAACTGTCTCTGCAGGTATGAAAATGTTTATAAGAAATTATAAATTGGAGTGAAGGAAATGGTTTTGCTTGATTTCCCCCCAACAACTTGAGTCAGCAAAAAGTGGACTTCCAGCTGGCATCAGTTAACAGTTTATTAGTCCATATTTGTCAGATAAAGGCTTTGCTAATTTTTGAATAGCTCTAATGGATCATAAATCAAAAGGGCTTAAATGTAATCCAAAGGCATTTGATAATGATCAATATACAGAGTATTGAAAATTTAAACACATTCTCCCATTCTGAAATAAAACAGGTTTGCATTTGGTGGCGTTGGTCCAAGGCATGAGGCCTACACGGTGCGGCCCTTCAGCTGCTGCACCTTCTCACCCCTTAAGTCACTCCTTTGCTACAAGCTCTCACCTCCCCATGTCTGTTCTCACCCAGACAGGGTTTATTCCTCTAGCCAGTCTGCTTAATATGTTTCTAACCTGGCTCTCAGCCCTACAGTGCCTGTTTTTCCACGTGGAAAAGCAAAATAATGACGTTTCACAACCTGCCTCCTCTCGTTATGGATCTTAAAATACTCGGATGGAAACCATAAAGCTTTAGAATGCAAAAACAGATGAATGATTTTATGTGAAAACAGGAATTACTCAAAGTATTCTTGTACTTGAAATATTTTGTGCTTTGGGGATATACATTTTTTAATTAGGCATGATTGTTTCATTACTATTTCTATATGTCTTGTCCCATCAGCAACAATAATTAAGTAGCACATTAAGGCAATTTAGAATAATCAACTCATAGACTTTAGGGATAAAAGATCAGCAAGAGGTTCATCTATTCAATTATTTGCCTTCAGATGGCATCACACCCAAATAGGGCTAAAACTGAAATATTGTCCTGGGCTTTTTTGTTTTCAAGACATAAGATTTTGCTTCTTTTTCTTGCTCTAACCTGAATTTCTTTCTGCTAAATCAAAAAGACTTTTCTCCTAAGATTTTGAGTTAGAATCAGGAAATGCCAAAAAATTATGACAAATCCCTATTTTCTACATCAGCTTGTTTCTAAGAAAAATTCAGTGGCTTCTGCACTGGGCAGGTCTTGATAAGCTGCCAAGGAATTTTTCCTTTGAGCATGTACAGTCGAGGCAGACCCCCCACTCTGCTACCACAGTCTGCCTGCTGGCTTTAACCCAAAGCTGTGCAGGACCCACATTTGAACCAGGGTGAACCGAGCAGGCTCCACTCGGCCCTGCCCTGGGTATAGTGGAAGCCAAACTTCAGTGAGCATCGGAGTTGCCTGGGAGATAGTTAGCCATGCTGGTTCCAGGGTGCCACCTGCAGAGATTCTGAATTGGTTGATCTAGGGGCAGCCTGGCATCTTCATTTTTAACAGGCTTTGAAGGCAAATTCAGGCCAGGTGCTTCTAGGCTCCCACTTTGAGAACCTCAGCTCCATTCTAGCAGCCATGAATAGTGGTCCCTCTTGGTGCAGCAGGAGGGAGAATGGGTGTCTTCCCGACATTATCTGCCCTCCGGCTACTGCACCTCCTCAGCCTCTAAGCCGCTGCTTTGCTGCAGGCTCTCACCTTCCCATGTCTGTTCTCACACAGACGGGGAACTAGACATGGGCCCAGTGGCCTTTCTGAGAATGATTTCCTTGCTTCTCTTTAGACGGTCTTATGTCATCACAGGCAAAGACCAGGCCCCATTGCACAGTAACAGGTTAATGAGTCCCACTTGTGCTTGGTTAACAGTTTATGAGCCCATATCTGTTGGATGAAGGCTTTGCTGTTTTTGAACAGCTCTGTCTAGGAAAGTCCAATGGATTATAAATCAAAGTGTTTAAATATAATCCAAAGGCATTTGATAACAATCAGTGTACATAGTATCGAAAATCTGAACAAATATGTAAAAGCTGAAGTAAAAAAGCTGGAGTAGAATTTTCTAAATAAATTCTTAAACAACCTAGCATATTTGCAAACATTGTGGAAATACTTAACAGGGATAATGTGGGCATTGAAAGGCTATTTTTGAAAAAGCAACACATCTTTTTCAAAAATTTAAAACCCCCATAGGCTAAGGAGCTACCAGCCCTATAGATGTGCAGGACTGTGGGATGTTCGTGTCCCTGATCTTTACACCTTTTAGACGAACACTCATTTGATTAGTGCAATGATGGGCAATGATTTCATGACAAGCTGGCATTTTATTTCTGACTGTGGTTCATAAGAGACTGACTATGAATGAAATAGACTTTCCCTCCCTGGCCAAAGGCCCGTGCACATTGCCTTAAATTCCCCATGTGCATTCCCTCTTCGTTCCGTAGTTTAGTGTAATACAGCAGAGAAAGGATGGTACTTCCAGTGAGTCTAAAGGCTATAGTCATGTATGGCTGAATTTTCACTGGGCCAGAGTGCTGATAAATACCAGACCTTTTTATTGTAGAATTTTCCTCTGGTCACAGCACAGGGAGGCATTTTCCCTGACCATGTTCAGTAATAATATTGATATTTCATATGTGTCTAGAGCCCTACCATTTCAAAACTACCTTCACATGTTTTATTTCACATGACCCTTACAATAGCCCTGGGAGGAAGGCGGGGTGAGGGTTATTATCTTATACCTTTTTTAAAGATGAGGAAACTGAGGCCCATTATAAGTGGCAGACTTAGGCCAAAAACTTAAGCCGTCTTCCTGTTCCTAGGCTTTGTCCAAAGACTTTCGCCTTTCGGGGATCCTTGGCGTTAGATCCGAGATCCATCCTAGAATCTCCTCTAAAATGATCCTCCTCCTTTTTCATAAGCAGTCGCTTTCCTATAAGCAACCCCCCTTCCTCCCCATTCTCATTCAACCAGCAGCACGAGCTCAGACGAGGAAATGAACGAAACCCATCTCGCCTTCTCCCGCAGCTCGCGCTCCTTCCGCTCCTGCACGGTGGTCAGGTAGTTGACGGCCGCGTACTCCAGCACCGACAGGAACACGAACACGAAGCTGACCCAGAGGTAGATGTCCACGGCCTTGATGTAGGAGACGCGGGGCATGGAGGCGTTCACGCCCGTGATGATGGTGGACGTGGTCAGCACCGTGGTGATGCCTGCAACATCCAGCTCTCGTTCAGCCACTGAAAGGGCACAGGGCCGCCCCCCTGCCCATTTCACTCTGCCACCATTTTACATTCCCCAGCTCTTAAATCTCATGAGGAATGCCCTGGGCATGTGCCCACCTCACAGAGGTGCGAGCATCTGCTCCGCGGGCAGCTGAGCCAGGTCCCCTGGCCAGGTCACCGCTTCTGGAGCCTGCCACACTGGGGTTTGGGTTTCTGTGACATGGCTGACATTGAGGACTGCTTCAGGAGGGACCTGTTCGGATGTGGAATTTAGAGCAGTGACTAAAGCACACCTGTAAAGAACATTCCCAAACTCGAGGAAGGAACATACTCTTCCTCATCTAAGCCACACTGATCGATGCCATGACAACCGTGGAAATTCGTGGAGGCCTATCATGCTTGTCTCTTCTTCACTGAGCCTGACTGTTTAAACCCGCACACTCCTCAGGACCCAAGCTGATCTGTCCAGATGGACAATGATGAGATGCAAACGTGCTCTCGGGAGTACAGGGTCTGTGGAGGACTGAAACCACACTTCCAGGGAATACAGCACTCTCCTTCCCAGAAATCTCCAAACTCAGGAATCCCCCAACATGCGCTCTGCCTTCAGACTCTCAGTCTGTCTAAACAAGGCCAATAAACAAAGTGTTTGTGTTTACAGAACAAGTTTTTGGCATTTGTAGAATCGTCCTTTTTACGAAGTCCTGAGCTCTAACACGGCTGCAGGTGGAAGTCGATACCTCCCCTAGGCTGTGTACCTTTCTGAATGAGTTGTCAAGCTGATGTCAGTTTAGTCCCCACTTCCATAATATAAGCTGGGAACAGGCAGTGTATGAGTGGCCAGGGCAGGAAGCAAGAGGAAACTTGGCTCCTGTCAACTCTGACAGCCCAGCAGTTAAGAACTCTGAATCATGGTTTGACCTTTTTTTTGCACAGCAATCAGTTGAAAGCAAAAACCACCCTACCACACCTTATCAAATGCTTTTACCCAGTGAAACTCTGGCGGGCACAGCTCTGCGGTCAATCCAGAAGGACACCCAGGACAGCATGACCATCAGGGTGGCAGGGAAGTAGGTCTGGAGCAAGAAGAAGAAGATGTGGCGTCGCAAGGTGAAGTTGATGTACAGACGGTTGTACCAGCCTGGGGGACACAGGAAGGAGCCAGTGAGGTTCAATCTGAGAGACAAACACAAGCTCCTGTCCTGGGAGCCTTTCTTTCCCTGACATGGCTCTTACCTTCAGCAAAGAGCTAAAAACTAGTGATCGAATTGCCTTTCCAAAATGTAAGACCTCTTGCATATAAATAGGTATCTTGCCAGTATCTAATACATTCACGGCTTTATTCGGTATTATCCAAGTTTTCTTCACAGCATTTTGGGGGAAGGTCGAAATAAATACAGGTCTAGGTTTAGTTGTTTGCTGGTGTTCATTATTTTGAAATCACAGCCACACTTCCTGAGTGACTCACTGCTCGGGGGCCTAAGAAGTTGGACTGGTCCTGTTTTGTTAAGGCCAATACCACTGAGGCAGGCGCCAGCAGAGCAGGGCTATTGTCACTGTCCTCTGAACTGTGAGATCGGTCAGCTCAGGCAGTCCCCACACCCCTGTCACAAGGAGGAACAGGCCGTTCACGTGACTCTCAAGTCGGACATCAGTTCCAGTCCTGACACTCACCCACCTTGTGGAAGTTACTCCATCCATCCGGTACAAGTCATTTACCATTTGATCATTCCCCAGGGAAAAAATGAGGGTATAGATATTATCTATTTCAATCTGGTGGTTTGAAAATCACTGACTATTGGTTGTTAAAAAAAAAAAAAGGATTGAAATTGTAAGGCTTCAAATGATACATGAAATCAATGCCCAGTCACTGGGACCAAAGATGGTGTCAAGGACCATGTGAATGTATCAAGTGGCCTGAAGCTGTATGCACATGCCCACACCACTCCCATCTCAGTCCAGCCTTATCAGAGGACGTTAGAACTCAGAGATAGTCCAGTTCTGTGTCCCAAAGCATGAGGGACACACCATGGTGGTACAAGAGGATTTCAGGGGTACAGAGGTGGGTACTTTTTTGTGTTCATTATATTTATTATTAATGTCACCTTTTATTTATGACAAATGACACTAGTTTCCCATTATTTGCAGTGATAGAAAATTCCTTTTCAAAATAAAGTACAAAAGGAGAGTTGACTTACAGAAAAAAAAAGTTGACAGCAACATAGATGGTATATAAGGAAGACAAACGTTGCAAGGGTGTTATGTAAATAAGTGAGGTCATATAAATAATTAAAGCCCAGACAGAGTGTAACCCTCAGCCTGAGTCACACATGAACTTGGGTCAGGACTCGGGTCTCCAATGCCCAGGCCAGGGCTCATCTCACACAATGTCCCTTCAACTTAGCAGTGGTCACTGAGGGTCTCCACACGTGAGGGCTGTGCTCAGGCCTAAAGGGAACAGAGAGACACCCAGGCCCTATTTTCTGCTCTCTAGGATTTTCAAGGAAATAAATAGAGTTTCCGCAGAATGGACAGGCTCAAGACATGGAAGAATGTACATTGAGCACTAATATGTCTATCTGCATAAGCATGAGTGCTTTAGGTTTGGAAGAGAGAGCCCTGAATCACTATTGGCTGGACTGACTAAGAAAGGCCTCATGGAGGAAATAGGTGAGTATAAACTGGGCAGTGGACAGGAAGAGGGAGGCTCAGAGATCGGAGTGAGCGGTGCAGTCTGAAGACCATGACACTCAACCTGGCTGCATAAGAAGAACCCCTAGGAGCTCTACTAATCTCCAAAGCCCCATCCTATCTCAGAGTCTGACCTACTAGGTCTGGGGTGGTGGCTTCAGCTTGGTTACGTTTTAAAAATTCCCTAGGTCGTAAGAGCGCCATTCACAGTGGCCAAAAGGCAGAAGCAACTCAACTACCTATCAACAGATGAATGGATGTTTTAAATGTGGTATATCCATATGATGGGCTATTATTCAGACCTAAAAAGGTATAGAATTCTGGCACATGCTATGGCATAGATGAACTCTGAGACCATTATAGAAGGTGAGTTACTGTAATGAGAACCAACAAGCAGTCACAAAAGGACTAATATTGCATGATTTCACTTACATGAGGTACCTAGAATGGTCATTTATAGAGACAGATATAGAATGGTGGTTCCTAAGGGCCGAGGGAAGAGGGAATGGGAGCGCTTGTGGAATGGATGCAGAGTTTCTGTTTGGGATGATGAACAGGGACTGGAAATGGTAGCGGTGGTGATTGTATAACATTTGAACGTACTCAATGCTAGTGAACTGTATGCTTAAAAATGGTTAAAATGGGAGAAGAACCAAGATGGCGGTGTGAGTAGAGCAGCGGAAATCTCCTCCCAAAACCATATATATTTTTGGAAATACAACAAATACAACTAATCCTAAAAGAGAGACCAGAAGACACAGGACAACAGCCAGACCTCATCCACACCAGCGAGAACCCAGCACCTCACAAAGGGGGTAAGATACAAGCTGCAGCCCCGCGGGACCCGAGGCCCCTCCCCCCAGCTCCCGGCGGGAGGAGAGGAGTCTGAGCCAGGAGGGAGAGGGAGCCCAGGACTGCTGAACACCCAGCCCCAGCCATCCGCACCAGAGCGCAGACACACAGTGTGTGCATGGGGTGCTGGAAACTGGGGAAACAGGACAGTCAGACCTGTGAGCGGGTCCCCACAGCTGGTGCCCCGGGGACAAAGAAAAGCGAGTGCTTTTTGGAAGTCTTAAAGGGACAGGGACCCCACAGCCAGATGGAAGTGCCCCAGGACACAGCCCAGCAGCTGTGAATCCCAGGGAACTCTGGGTGCCTGAACCCCTGCAGTGCAGCTCGGAGGCCCCTCACCGCGATAAACAGCCTCCCGCCTGTTCCCCCTCTGATGCAGTTCCACCATATTGGAGCAGCAGCCTGAGGCAGGCCATGCCCACAGCAACTGCAGAGCTAAATAAACTCCATAGCAGCCGGGCGAGATCAGAAGCCCCATCTGCATGCAGCTGCCCTGCAAAAACCGCTAGAGGCCGCTGTTCTCCCAGGAGAGGAAGGCCACAAACTGGCAAGAAGGGACTTTCTCTTACCCAACACACGCGCCAGCTCCCTACAAATATATCTATCGCCATGAAAAGGCAGAAGAAATTGATACAGACCAAGATCACATAGGCAAACCCTGAGAAAGAGACAGACCTAACCAGTCTTCCTGAAAAAGAATTAAAAATAAAGTTCATATCCATGCTGATGAAGTTGCAGAGAAATATGCA